ACCTACTTAACAGCATAAACTGAACTTTGCAACTTTTTAATGCTTTTTTTTTTTCAAAACTGGCAGAGATACGCCCATAGTTACTATTGAATTTGAATAGAAAGTCATTACAGCCAATTTACTGTGACCTTAAAATTGACCTTTGACATACTTTTAACCATGTACTGTTCCCTTTTATCTCCAAAACTAGCAGAGATACGCCCATAGTTACTGTTGAATTTGAATAGGAAGTCATATACTGGCAACGTAAGTGTGACCTTGAAATTGACCTTTGACCTACTTTTTATCATGAATTGAACTTTACAAATTTTTGTTCCCTTTTATCTCCAAAACTGGCAGAGATAGGTCCATAGTTACTGTTGAACTTGAATAGGAAGTTATATATACTGGAAATTTACTGTGACCTTGAAATTGACCTTTGACCTACCTTACGATGAACTGAACTTTGATTGTACCATTTTAGTTATATATATTTTTTGCATATTTTGAGAATTCTTGTTGATTGCATTTTTTACAGCATGTCAAGCACAAGACTGGTGGTGGTGTCCCTTTTTTGTGGGGGGGGGCCTATACGATCGCGCTTACTCCGGCTGGTGGTACAATATTCGGAGGCGGTATCGCCTCTCTGATCCTCTAGTTTTAACTCTATAAAAGCAGAATGAGATACTGTAAATAGTTTCTTACCACATTAATGGATAATAAGACTGATGAAATTATTTGCTTTATTAATTGTCCGTTTAGATTTGATTCTGAGCTCCACCAAATTACGGATGAATTCAAGGATGAAAAAATACACAGAGAAAAACTACAACATGAAAGAGATACAATATTGGCAGAGAAGCTAACACTACAGAGGGAGCAGGAGGTATGGCAGATACATTGTTCTAGATATAAAGCAGAAGTGGACACAATATTTTGGTTGTAGTTTTTCTCTTGTTCTAAGGCCCATTAAACTAACACATGTAAATCACAACCAAGATGTTTGCTAAATGTTTTACACGTGTTTATACAGTGCAGTGTTTGTCTTATATGTGTATCTACATCCTGATTATGAGTGAATAGCAAAGAGAAGAGAGGTCCCTGAGAGAACATATAACTATTATATAACTTTTGAATTATGATCAGTACTATAAGAATTACAGCCACAGAAAGTGTAATTTAGGCTTATAGCTAGAGGTTGAAAAGAGAGGAGGCAAGACTGCCATCTCATGGTTGGCGATTCCAGACCTGTCCCCTGGGCCTGCCTTATCAGGTTATTGTATCTGGGGAAAACTAGGTCCTTGTCTACTTCAGCTTAAGTGAGAGCATGAAATTGGAATCATTGTAGTGTATCAAATGGCTATTTGTATTTGTTTTCTTTCACTCACTAGATGGCAGGATTGATGCTAAGCCCAAAATGTTGTTGCTTTTTGACATTCCAAGGGCTCTAAGATCTATTGTATGTAGGTCTAACATGGTAGATTATGTCATATTGAATAAAGCAGACATTTCATGGCATAACCCACAGTCCAACACCTGATAAGTCATCTACACATTGCATAACTGTCTGATAATGGTCTGGCGCCAACGTCATGAAAGAAAGTTGGCCGTAACTTTTCAAAGACAAATGGTGGTATAATTCATTCTAAGATAAATGCTCAGTTTATTCTTTTAATAAGACAGGTACAATATTTCTTTTAGTTAAACCACTACTGATTTCTCTTGGGTCAAAGGAAACATAATATTAAGACTATTCTAACTTTCAGTTCGAGTTTCTTTTGTAATACAGACATATGACAGGTATAATAACATTTGTCCAGGAATCTCCACACACACACACACACACACCTCTTATTACAATAGATGCTTTGTTAGAGTTTGAATTACAGAAAGTCTTTAGACACTTTCAGTTCATAAATGCCTTTTACAATAACTACTTGATAATAGGGTAAAACACTGGTTATGAGTAAATCATCCAAATGTTTTGTCAAAATGTAAGTGTTATCAACTTTGAACTCAAATGATGCCCTGCCAGATATAATGATAGCCCAGGGATAGGTATAAATCAGGGACAGGTATCACGCCTACAGGATAGGGCCGTGTTTTACACCGTTCCCTGCCACCCATTATTCCTCCAGGTCCACCCCATTGGTGCTCCTTTTGTGGGAAAATACACGCTGCCTCAGTAAGTTTTCTGTCGCAGCTGAACACCTGACATAAAAAGCTAGACATGTTAGATCAACAGACCTCCCATAGAATTGCAGTAGCAGGGACCCTCAATACACAGCATGTGCTCCCTCCGCATTCACAGTGTGCGCTCAAGTAGTTTCTAAAGGGGGGTGAGTTAAGCGGCTATTGTGTGGTTATTTACATTAGAATGTGATCAAAGGCCAGGACCTTCGCATGCCAGAGCTTTTCAAATCAATTGAGGTGTGCGATCAAGAGGCTGTAATTTGGCGCTCTATGCACAGAGCTAGTGTTACAGCGGGCATAGAAAAGAAGGACCCTCATTTAGGGTAGTTTACAGACAATCGGTGTACCCATAATCACCTAGGCTGCTGTGTGTGTGTAAGTGTGATCACCCAAGCAGGGAAAAAGAACTGTGACTTCTGTGCAGGTTCCTAGCTGCTTTTACCCAGAGGAAGAAAACTTGAAGTCTGCTGTCACTGTGTTTTCTTGCCACTTCTGTAAACAGTTGTGTAAGGACACATGGTCAAGGCTTTGACATTTATGCTGAGGAGGTTCCTGGGAATTTACTTATTTTGTGGCAGTTTTTGAACTTCACCTCATGGATATATATAACGCTGCTTATTCAGTAAGTCTTCTGCTCCTAGTTGTATATATCAGGGAATTTCTTGTGAATTGGCTGTTTTATTTTGAAGAAAATTTCTCTTTCAATGGCTACTGTGCTGAAAAGATTCAGATTAAATACTCAGTAAAGAAACGTATCGAGGCATTAACTTTAGTGGGATTTGATATCATGAAAAGGTGATAATGCTTTTGTAAGCTACAAATGTAGATAACCCCACACAATGCTCCAAGTTAATGTTTATTTCTGCTTTAAGATATGATTTCTCAAGTCACTTTATCAACTGCAAGTTTTACATTAAGCATTATTACTTTTGTGTCAAGTAAGATGTCGTTAAGGACAGATGATCACTTAAAAGTACATGGCAAGGTACATATTTTTAACCAGAACTGCATAGTTTTGATTAAAGTTTTGAAGTATGTTTAAGATATTGTGATGGCAATTCTGACACTGAAATGCCACACAATGTGTCTTACAATGTGTTACTGTTATTGACAAATATCCGTAAAAGCTGATTTTCTGTTGACATGGTGTATCAAGTTGATGTTTATTTCATGGTCATATTTTTCATTTCACCAAAACCAGTTTACTGAAAGACTTAGCTGGGTCTCTGGCAAAGTTTACCTTTAGATAATAAAGCCATGCAGCAGTCATAAAAAGAAAAGGCCAGCTTTTGAAACAGGTTTTTCTATAGAGAAGTTACATCAAGTACTGCTTGCTAATGGCATGTTTGTCTGCCCTGTGTACAGCTGAGAGCTAATATTTGACTTGGTTTGGATGGTCTGTACACACATACACATTGGGATATGGTGGAGTCCAGAGAGTGGCTGGACACGGGGAGTATGGAAAGACTGGACACTGGTCAAGGAGCTATAGTCAGGCAGGTTAGACAGAGGTGAAAAGACTCAAATCACAGGTAATACTAGTAGGATTATTGCACTGACATGTTCTTGGATTAACATGGATGTTTGCATTAAGTCCATGGAAATTAAGAAGAATTAGAAAGCAGTTATAGGCAAACTGTTTTGAATTTAATATTGGACATTAAAGGAAAAGTATTAAAGGCAAAACCAGTATGGGATTAATGGAGAGTTTTACACAAGTGACTTGTGCCCTGCTTTTTTAAATACTGGAAGGTTTACATCATAAAGACATTGTGTGTAGGAGTTAAGATTAATGTATGCCAGATCACACTTTTACATGCTACCAAATTCAGTTTCTCAGTCCTTTCCTGAAGTATTTGGCATCATTCTAAATGAGGCGTTAGGAATGGGTGGGAAACAAGCCAAAGAGAGTACAATTATGTCACTAAAATCATATATTTGGCTGTCATTTGATGTTGGTTGCAATTGGACATCTTTTCATCTTGCTTCTCTGTTCAGTTTAAAGTTTATGTATGTAGTATCAGTGCCATGATCAGGGGCAGATCCAGAGATAGTTTCTGACAGTCTTCCAAATAATCTTTGTTGATCCATCTTCCATTCTTGACCATCTTTTGACAGAAAAAAATAGATACCTATGTAAACTTGAAAATCTGTCTTCTCCCCCCCCCCCCCAATCCCTTTCTAAGTAATGACGTCTCTTGAGTTCCAGCAGTAAAAGTCTTCCTCCCCCTCCCACATCCCTCTAAGTAATAACATCTCATGCCCCCCCCTTCCATCGTCCCTCTCTAAGTAATGACGTCTCATGTCTCTCCCCCCTTTCCCTATCCCTCTCTAAGTAATGACATCTCATGAGTTCTAGCACTCATAGTGCCTTCCTCTCCCACCTGACAGTGATCCATGTCTACAGAGATACTATCAGTTCATAATGACAGTCCTGTGTGAGCAGCCCAGCCTGGTTGTGTAGAGGAGAGATTAGCATGTCATAGCAGCATTTCATTTCATTCTTCACTCTGTACTACAACCTGGCTTTAGCAAGCAGCAGGGGAGGGGCACACAGAGCTCTGACTCAGTTCATTTAAGAACACAGGTTGTGTTACTGTTCTCTGGTTTTAGTCTACATGCTGGGTTACTTTTGTTCCTCAGGACCTGGGGTCAGTCAGTGAGTGGCCCTGCTTATCTCCTGTCATTTCCACCTGGATTAAATAATAGCAGTGGCCAGGTAGAGCTTAGTGAAGGTGGACTTTAAAGACCTACAATTTACATGTCACAGTGGATGGCTAGGAGAATATTGGACACAGGAAGGACTGGGTTATTGCTCTGACAGATTGCCTGGCGTTTGACCAGCTGTTTGACCAGGTGCTTGACCAGCTAGTGGACAGAGAGGAGTTGACCACAGGCTGTCTCTGTACAGGATTACTTCATTTAACCTATTCAATACTGTGTGAAGGTCATCAGTGAATGGCATAAACTTCTGCAGTACTATTGGTTACGTATTAGACTATAGGAAAGAAGACACACAAGGCGCATTTTGAATAACTGGTCACTCTCAGTATTGGACAGCATGATGACCACAGAGTGTTTGCCCCAGTACAGCTCACAGGAAGAGTTGTATAGAGAGGTAGGGGGATTACTGCATGGGTTCAATACATTTTATAAGTATGTAAAATTGCACTTAATCTACTGATCATTAGGTTCATGCAGCACTTCTTCAGAGGTGTGTACTAGTAGTTTTTGGTTGTAACTGAATATCATGAAGATCCACGTGTCTTTTAATTTAGGCCTTTTTGAAAGTAATATATCATTTTCCATGAGATAATGAATCACTTGTTCTCCTTTCTATGACATGGTTTACAATAGGAGTGTCAGGGTGTGGAGATAGATACAGGATACGCAGGCTACATCAGGGCATCATGCTGGGAAATTAATGGAAATCTTCAGTGAAAGGCTGATCTGAAAGCTCTGAATACAGCCAGTGCTTTTCAATCGACTTAGAAAAGATGCCATCACTATTTTTCTTCATGCAGAGGGAGCTTTTTTTTATACTTTCCTATTTTGTCATATAGATGATGATAAAACAGGTTTGATCTCTTTTTTATATCTATTTATGTTCTCCCTACATTTTTATCCAGGAGGCTAAAACATTCAACATCCCCTCATCCCTCTTCCTTCAAAGCTCCCAAAGTTTTCAATATTAAAACAGGACATAACTTCAGCTATAACTTCTAGCTTTGATTCCATTGATGTAGAGTTTATCTTGGAGATCAACATTCCTGGCCATTGTACACAAGGCAAGCACTGGTCCCAGAATGTTACTCTTAGCTGGTTCTATTGATTTTTCTGCCTGATTGGTCACACTGTATATGGGAGTTGGGGAGAGGGGCAGATTATTGTGGTTAGCATGTGGTCAAGGTGTTATGGTCAATTCAGTGGTCATTGTATCTTCTTATCTGGAGAGTAGCCTCAAGTTGTGAAATGTCCACTTATGTGTATGGAAAGTTTGTTGAAGTGAGGTTTAATGGGTATAAAGTAATGTATACATTCTTGTGGCTTACGCCTTAAACCTGAGTTTTGGTTATACATGTATTATTTAGTGCAAAGGCTTCTGCTGATGCTCGTAACCAGGATTTGAATTTATTATCATAAAGAATAGTTACTTTTTTCACCTCTCTAATTCTTCCTACCACACCCTGTCTCAATTCTGAACAGTTTTCATTATGTATACTGCACATTTACTAAACTGTGGATACAAAGAAGTTTTTAGTTAAAAATTTGAAATGTGGGATATACATGGAAAGGTTTTACTCCCTTCTAGACTAAAATAATGCAACTCTGTGCAGTTAATGCACGTTTCCATGTAAATTTTCTCTGACACCAACGGAATTCTGTGACACCCATGCAGATGGTTGTCTGTGGAATGTAAATAAATTTGTACTTAAGCTTCACCGACAAAGTGAACCCAGACAACACCTCATCTTACAACACATTACTCCTCACATCATCTCATGAGACATTCCACACAGACACAGGGTTTATTGCTCTGAGGCACACACATGTAGAAGGGCACTAGCCATTCATCCTCAGTAAGTGAGACGTTAAGTAGACCAAGATGGGGTCAGCCCCATGACCTGGAGATAGTATCTGGACACGGCTCTTGTGTTTATTGGTCAGCAACAGTGACCAATTGTCCTGGAGCGTGAAAGGCATTAAAGAAAGTAATAAATGAGTTTCTGAATTTGAGGACACTAGGCCAACATCTCAGTGATATAATACCATGCAGGAATATGGTGCCCATGTTTGGTATTGGCTGGCTGTGTAGTTCTATCGAATGCCAAAGAGTGATGCAGCCATTCTTTAACACTAGCTAATAGAATTAACCACTAACCACACAGTGAAATCAAAGCTGTGAATAGCTGAGTGTTGACACACATAAATACACCATGGTATCCCACATGTATGTAAACTTGAATAAGATATGCTCCAGCACTTGAAGTATTTGTGACAATTGATGTTACAATTGATGTAGGATGAGGTATGAAAGGTCGTCCAAGGGGGCAGTAAGTGTCTCAATGGAGGAGATGGCAGATAGAGGGACTTGGGATGATTTCCCTTTTGATATGGCACATCAGATTGCACATGTCAGGCATTCTGCACCATAACTCCATTGACAGATCTATAATCGCGTCTCATCTGCTGTTTTCTACGTGTCTCTTACACTATCTTGTCTGGCTCATTGACGTCTGGTGTCACCTGTATCACCTGTATTATTTCAGCTTATTAACAGAACTAGGAACTGGGTCTCTCCTCTCATTCAAAGTGAAGGCATGACATTCACAGAGACACTTGACACTTAACCTATTTTGTGAAGTATCAATTGAGCGTTCAAATGCCTCTTTAAAAATTTGCCAGATTCTGGTTTCTCTCCAAAAAAGGAAATTCTCACACATCTTTAGTGGTCCTAGATTGAAAAGACAGGGTGTAATTTTATCACCTGAGAGTTTTACGTTTGTTTGCGTCTTACTGTTTATATAATGATTTATGACGGAACAACAATTAAGCAGGAAACTTCAAAGGAAATTGATTGTGCGGAAGCAAAATCAATGTAGTTATCAAAGATTAAACAGGCACAATGACACTTTTCTCGTTTCATTGATTCGTTAATTCAGTAGTATTGTTGTCCAGCAGAGCTTAAGCAAGTAGACATTGTGTGGTAAGAAATATTGGAGGAAACATAACATATTACCCCTGCTAGAATAGCTTGACTTTAACCAAGATGCAGTGACTTCAAGTGTTGGGTTCAAGCAGAATATGACCTTAAACAGGTGGGATTCTTTTAGACTTCTTTGGGACTGAAGCTACTTGGGTGCAATGTCATACCAATACTGTAACATAGGCTTTAAGTGACTTCTGAGACCTGGCCAAGTTTGGAAAGCTTCTTAGTAAAAACACAAATATTAGATGACATGGGTAAGGCAGGTAGAAATTAGCAAGGTGAAATGAAGCTGATTTCATCATTTGCTTAATTTTTATTAGGTTGACATATTTTAACCTTTTTTTTTAACTTGATGTTAATGTAGTACATTTCATCTTTTCAGAACTTGAAGATGGAGTTTGAACTACAGAACGAGAAAGTAGACCGACTGGAGCGAGAGTTGAGAGACTTGTCTAGTTTGGGAACTAAGGATGATGTTGAGGCAAGGCTATGAAATTTTCATTTCAACTGCCATTTTAATTACAATTATCAGCTATCGTATTTACTAAACAGCAAAAAAAGAATTCATATGAAAAATTATTCATGTATAGAAAAAAGGTTGTGTACATATAATTAATACAATGACCATAACCTGGTTTCAAAATGTACCCGATGTAAACTCTTTCCCAAACTCTCTTCATAAAAACTTATAATGTGAATGTTTAGTTGAAAACCGGTAAATTTTGTTTTTTTCCTTCCAGATCATGAACCTAAAACGTGCCAAGATGGAATTGGAACTGAAGACCAAGGATCAGGAGGAGGAGTTAGATGAACAGGCTGGCACCATCCAGCAACTAGAACAGGTATGATGACAGGTTTTACCTGTAGAATACAGTACAATCCCCGTAATGTAATTTAGGTGCAAAACTAACAGGTGCAACTAATGTCATATTAATGATATGGCAGGTAACAATACAGCCTGTATTTAACAGTTAGTTTGTCCATTAGATGAGTGACCCCGGGTCAGTGTTTGTTAATGAAACAAAGCATGTTCCCATAGCAAGTGATTGAAAAAAATAAAAAGGGTGGCAATTTAGATCATTGTCTCAGTCATTAAGTACAGTATAAAGCATGTAGCACAGCTGTGGTAGACAAATGACTTTCTGCACACAAAGTGCTTGTAAGAAAGACATTATTTTTGTTAACTCTGAACATGAAATAGAATAGAAAGCCGGAAGGGAACTTGAATTTTTTTATATGAATGTACGATTGAAGCACAGATTAAATAAAGTAGTGTGAAAACAAGATGGTGAAGTCTGATTTCAGGCAATTATCATATTTCTGACAACTGGTGGGAGGTTTCAACTTGGGACAGCAATTTGTAGTATGGTGAAGGGAGAATGGAATGGAAGAAAGTAGAATAAACAGTTAAAATAATATATTTTTCAAACAACAGATGAATTCAGTGTTATTACCACTCTAATATTTTATTTCTTATTGCAATCCTGAGTGCATATGTAACACAGCTGACAAAATCCCTTGCTAGAATAAACTGTATTATTCTGAATATGAACATTAATTGTCGTGTCATTGCTCCTGCTAGGCCAAGCTGCGTCTGGAAATGAACCAGCAGAAACTGAGGCAGCAGTATCAGAAGGAGATGGAGGAGAAGGAGATCGAGCTGGAGGAAATGAGGTCATCCACTCAGAAAAAGGTAATTTAGGGGTTAGGAACTGTGTGCCAGTATTTTTTGTCAGCTCTTGATTTAATCATGAAATAAGAATCTGTTGATTTGTCAACAAAAAGATAACGTGTAGTTGACAGAAGCATAAGGCGTTCTGAGCATGTCATTATTTGAAAGGCCTCATATCCTTATCCCCTAAAAATTTTAACGAATCACTCAAATACACTTAACAGTTGCAGTTCCTAATCAAAAATTACTAGCAGCAATAAAAATCAAGTCCAATTTCCATTGCCAACAGGTTCGACAGCTTGAGGTGCAGGTAGAGGACGAGTATGAAGAAAAGCAAAAAGCTTTACGAGAAAAGAGAGAGCTGGAAAGGCAGTTGCAGGAGGTGGCAGAGAAAGCACCCAAAAGAGACAAAGGTAGGCCAAATAGACGCTTAAGTTGTCACAGAATATATGATTGGATGCACTTAGCTGTCATGGAAAATGTGATTGGCCGTAATAGATGAATAAGATTTGCCTTGGATAATTTGGTTCAAGTAAATTAGGAAAAAAGCCTCTGTCATTGTTAGTTTTAGATTTACTGTCAGTGACATCCCTGGCCTGCTGTTTAGTGATGCATCTTAAAAGTTAATTTGGTAAATTTTAAGATAAAAATTCCGATTGCACCCATAAATAATGCACTCATGCCTGAGATAAACTGCAATCCGTGAATATTTTGTCTTCAGAAACTGAAAAGAGATTAAGGAAAGGTCTTAAAAAGACAAAGGCTCTGCTAAAGGATGCTCAGACTATGTTAGAGAAGAGCAAAGAAGGGGCTGCCTCAAAAGCCTCAGTTAAACAACTCAGGGATAAGGTAAGCACCTCAAAAGCTTCAATTAAACAACTCAGGGATAAGGTAAGCACCTCAAAAGCCTCAGTTAAACAACTCAGGGATAAGGTAAGCACCTCAAAAGCCTCAAAAGATGAGTGCAAGAAACAACCCAGCACTTGTGTTAACTATAACATTACACTCCTGTTCAAGACTGTCATATGAATTATTGAAACTTTTTTAAGAACAGTGGACAGTGGAGTCTATTTACTTACATACATTACACGCTTATTTATGACCTGAATAAGTGCATAAGCTATCTATGTGAAGTACTGAGGTCTTTATATGTGATTATTAATTTAAATGGTGTATCATTTATTTTTTCCATTTTTATTAAAAATGGCTTAAGGTACATTTGTTTATGTACTTAAGTCATTCCCACACATTATTGTACATATCTGGTTTTCTGTATTGTTTTAGCTGGAGGATGCAGAATTTGCCACATCAGCAGCTATCAAAGCCAGGAAAGGTATTGAGCTGGAACAGCAGGACCTCCAACAGCAGTTAGAGGACATGACCAGAAATAAGTCAGATGTAAGAATATGATTATTGAGAAAATTATTTCATTATCTCTGAATGCAGTTCATGTAAAACAAATGTTTTTATGAAGAGATTTGAGAAATTGTAAGGCGGTACCTCTTGTATTTCTACAGCATCATATATTTCTTGATAAGAGTATCATTCAAGTTTTGTATATTTGATTGCCAGTGTGACACATGCAGTTGCATTTGATACATTAATTTTGTCAAATTGGTGACAGTGTTATTTCTATTTATTTGATAATTATATTTTCTCAGTCACTACACTCAATATTTATTTGCTCAAATCTATATTGACAGCTGGTATAATAAAGGAGTTTGTAACCACTTGTTTGTAGGTATTAATTATGTTCTTAATTCCTGGTTTTCCCAGGCAGAAGACAGGTGCCTTTCACTCTCCAGAGACAAGACTGAGCTACAAACTCAGCTAGAAGACTTGGAAGAAGAAATGAATGAGTTGATGAGGAAATACAAAAATGTAGTACAGCAGGTAAATTAAGTTAACATGTGACTGATGTAATTATACAGGGTGATAACTACTATAGACTTTTTTCAGTAGGGCTTGAAATAAAAATGTTTGCCTGTGCGTGCATGTGTGTATGGGTCCGTTTTTGTGCTCGGCTTGTATTGTCTGTCATAGAATTAATAATATATATAAGGTAACTTGGTTTTGACAGATGCAATGTTTCATATTAGTATGAACATATCTGGAGTCATTAAATTAGTTTCATGTTAATTATAACTCAAAATTCTCATTTTATTTTCAGCAATCGGTTGACCAAATAAATCTTACAGAACAATCTACGCGGTTAGAGGAATTGCAGCAAGAAAGAGAAATGCTAAGAGAACAGGTAACTGTGTTATATGCTGCAGATGTATGTCTGTGTTAATCTAACCTGGTCAAAACTGGAGTGAGGATTTGGTTTTGTGCATGTTTCTTGTATTAGAAGTAAAGTATGAGAAACATTGAAAGTGTCTAGTCATTTCTCTATGAGCAAGTATATTCCTTTACTTACTAAGTGTTTTCCGTTGTTTCAGAATTCCTTATTACAAAGCAAAGTAGAATACTTAGAAACAAACTATGTAGATAAACAAGTGGTGATCCGTCTGGAGTCCAAATGCAGAGAACTGGAATCCAGACTTGACCTGGAGCTGGCTACAAGGCAAAGACTAGAGGTCAGTGGGAAAGATTTCAAATTCAGTATTCCTATGGAATAATCTGTGATGTAACTAGATAATATAGAATTGTCAGTTTAAGAATGGTGTCTTATTTTTTTTCCAACAGCTCTTTGGGCAGGTAATGGTGGTGAATTCTGAATTAATACAGATTAAAACAGTTTGCTTATTTAATTCTAGCAGGAGTTAAAATTTGTGCGTTTCATCTGTATTTTTAAAATGTCAAAAATACAAATATTTTTTCACCACAGGCAAGCACAACTAAGTTGAAAGCCGATGTAGAAAAACTTACCACAGAAAAAGACAACCTTCAGGCCAAGGAGCAGGCAGCCCAAGAGAACGCTAAGAGAAGTCAGCGGCAGCTCAGAGATCTGCGGGAGGAGTTTGGAGACGTGCAGAAACGAGAGTTGGAAGCTAGTCAGAAGAAAACCGAATTAGTAAGTAATGTGGTGGTGGTTGTGAATACATGGAAGAAAAATCTGAAATTGGTTTGGTTTCTTATTTACTCGGTGGTTTGAGCTTATGATTTTACCGAAGACATTTCCATGAGGATTCTGAAGAATTTATGTATTGATTTACTTTGAATGATTTTACAGGAAGTGAAAGTTGAAAACTTAGAAGCAGACAGTGAGCAGCACCAATCTGATCTGAAACTTGCCTTCAAGAGGATAGCAGACCTGCAGGCCGCCATAGAAGATGAAATAGACAGTGACAGTGATATCTCAGACAGGTAAGAAACTGATATATATATGTACCAGGTGAGGAAGACACTACTGTTGAATGTTTTAAGTAATATGGCAAGTGAATAACGTACTACAGTTGTGTCTTGTGTCCTGTGAGTTGTATAAAAGTTGTTAATGCTTTGTCTGTTTAGTCTGTTGATATTGAAAAAGCTTTGTGGGGTATGGTTTCAGTTTCATGAAAAGGGTAAAAAATTTAATTTAATGATCAAGCTAAGTTGATATTTTTCAATGAAAAGATTATTTCACATTTTAGTGATGGAGAAGACGATGGTGAAGACTCGGATTCCTCCATAGACATTGACACATTCTTGGTGAACCACCGCCATCAGCCCCTGAACCGGAGCGGGAGTGGTAGTATAAGCAGCTTGGAGTACACGCCCTCTCATAGGCTGTCTGCGGGCACAGACGGCTCGGATGTAGATGGACACAGTAGGTATGGCCGTGAGTTTTACCAGTTTTAGATGTGCACTGCACCTTGACTGCACTTTGATTTGCTGTGACTCCTCAGCATGCACATCTCAACTGTAGAACTGCAGTGGTCTCTTTGGCTTCTTGGTTTGTAAGTAGACTTCACTGTGTACGCCAGTCTGGGCAGTGGTGACTGTATATAGGGTTTTGTGTTTAGAAAACTAAAATTGGGCCATGTCTGTTTTTGGAAAGGGGGAAGGGAGGGGTGTAGTTAGCCTTTTATGGTTAAATCAAATAATTTAGTATTATGGAAGATCTCTTGGTTAGGAAAAAAGTGTGGAAGCTGAGGGTTTTTTAGAACATTTTAAAGGTCCATGAAAGAAAACAGTCACTTGCCTCACAGGGTTGACGCACACAGATATCTTTTCTCCTATATTAACTGATATAGATACGCTCATGTTTTTATTATTCTTCTAAAATGTATAGGTTGGGACTTATTTATTTACAATCTCCATGCTTTTTATAAAGAACTTTTAAGTGAAATTGCTTATTTTAAAAAGAGACTTCAATCACTATTTTCCTGTAGATATTCTCAGTGTTGTTTAATCTTACTATTTTTATTAATAATATTATTATAAGGAATTTTCCCTTTCATCTTGAGCTATTCATGACTAAGTGGTCCTATGGGGTTAAGTTTTTCATCAACTAGTGGGCATATTAAAGTGGTTGTAGGTAAAAATCCAAAAAACCACTAAATAAAATTTTAATTATGTTAATAATTGACCGTAGCTATTATTATGTCCATAATATTTGATCAGTTAAATTTTTTTTAAATTTTCCAATATGGTTATTTTCAAATTTCTCCCAAATGTGAACCACTTTTGATGGAATGGCTCTTTTACACTTATAACTTTTATTTTNGGAGGCGGTATCGCCTCTCTGATCCTCTAGTTTATTTATTTTTTTGTGAAAATGGGGCCAGTTAACAGGCAATTAACGTTTGCAACATGTATAATGAATATGCAATGAAATAATTTTTTTCGTGAAAGTTTAATGAAAATTATTGGTTCGGTATATAAGATAAGATATAACATGATAACTCTGTTTTTAATGATAGTTTGTCAGTTATCAGGGAAAATTTCTTTCTCTATAGCATGTTCTTTTGATTGCAAATAAAGGCAATTTTAAACAACCTTAGGTCAGGAAATTGTTATGTAATGTATAAAAGATATTGTTTTTCTTCAGTTTTATTCATAATTGCTGTTTGATAACCTTCATTTTGAATGATTAACTCAATCTGTTTTTTTCAGGTTATGTAAGAGATGTCGTACTGACCTTGACAGATAATTAACTAGCTTGATAAAGGTAAAAAGTTTGCTTCTAATATTCAATAGAAGTTTATTCTAATTTGAAAGCTTGTGACAGAGAGCGCATTCGGAACAGCCGACTAACAGATCTTTGGATCAAATACGGTAAATCACAAAAAAGCTTGCCAGGTAATTCCTGATTAGACACTGAATAGATTCTCCACAGGAATTACGCAGCAAGTATTCAAGTGGGTCAGCCATATTTGATCCGTGCATCTGTTAGTCTGCCGTTCTCCATGCCCCCTAAGCTTTGGGGTATGTGTTTCCAATGTTTGCTACCCATAATCCAATAAGACAATCATTTCAATGTTAGTTTGGTTACAAACACCCTGGAAAATACCCCACCTCCGCCCAGCTAGTCCACCCAGTATGTGCCTGGATACCAGCAGCCATTGTGAACAAGATCAGCAATTTCTTTTTGCATTATCACATCAAGTCAATTCTATTTTGATAAGATTCCCAGAAAAAAAAAAAACATTGTGTTTCTTCCATCATTTAGGTCTTAAATGGATGCAAGAAAACAAATGGGGTCAAGTCATTAAACGGTTTGTCAGAAATTTAAAATTGCTATATTTGATGTGTCTGTTCAGCAGATATGTCAACTTGAGAAGGGTTTTGTTTGTAGAATGGCGTCAACTTCGGGGTCATTCCCAGGAACAGCGGAAGAATGAGAAAACTATTGATATTCAGCGATAGGCATCAAGAAATGGATTATCTGCCTTCTGCATATCAACGCTGTGACAGGGGATGCAAATTCCATTTTATGTATCTGTCATGAGCTTGCTGGGGTCTGCTTTATCAAGTTAATCATAAAAAACAAGTTGGATACTTGTACATTGTACTGATAGCTGTTGGGATCTCTGTGGAGATAATATTCTGAGTGACTGGGGGTCAAGCTTGTTTGCTTTTCAATTTTTTTACCAGCACATTTAGTTTGAAGGAATTTCACTGAAACAGGCAAAGTTAAAAAAGGATACTTGTATCATTATGATTAATGGACTGTTTTATAATCTTAAAACAAGGACCCTGTCTTGGCTTTTGAAATTAAATGTCACAGATATTGAAAGTTATTTGAAGCTGATGTAAAAATCAGATGAAGAGATAATAAAAATAGTTAGAGCCATAATGATAGTTAAAATGCTGTTGAAACTTCAATGATAATTTAAACAAATAAAAAGTTAAATTGAAAGTACAGATATTACGTAAAGATAAGCTACATGTACATGTAATAGGTAGAATGTGATGTGGACTTAACTTCAGCAATGTTTGTCAACTTTAGACTTTGGTAAACATGTCGTGGTACTTTTATCAATCTGCACTTCATCTTGCCATGGAGATCATATTGGAATTCATTTTTTTATGTTGATAAAAAAGAATATATTCAGAAATATGACTTACAGTGCTTGTTAGAGCTTTGAAGAACATCTAAATTTAAGAAATTTTACCATCTCCTGTTTGCCACAGGTCTCAGAGAGAACTAAAACTCACCGTTTTGTGTCCTTTCATTCTTAAACTGGTCTTCTGCTGTGACATGAATACAATACAATATCCAAAAAGCAATAATACTTTTAATAGCCACTTACATAACCCTTGAAATGTCCAATTTTTGCAGGTGTGAAGATGCAAGAAATTAGTCAAATTGAACACTTTCCACGTCCTGTTGGTGCCAAGAAAGGCAGTGAGAGGAAATTGCCAGTCTAAAAGTAACTGGATACCAGTTTGTCATTTCAGAGAAAACAGACGAGAAATCATTTCATAACAGTTACACTAATGCTGAACTGTATATTAATTGCAGAACAGTAATCAACAATGAATAATTTTTTTTCTTGGGGGGGAGGGGAGTACCTTGACAAGCAGACAAATCCATTGTTGCAACACACAAATGTACATAAAAACGTCCTTTTAAATTTACTTAGATACAATTATATTAATTTAGTAACATACAGGATATGCTGTTCATTAGACAGCCAGCAAAAAAGAACATTTTTCACATGAAAAGTTGCACTTTTAAGTCATAAAAGGAGTATATAATTGTAAACGCTTCACTGGTTGTTGGGATTCCACATACAGCAAGACAAACTGTTGCAATATACCCCATTTGTCAAAATTGTACTTTTTCTAAAGGCCTGTCACCACAAATATACCATCAAACTCAGGTAATATATTAGCCAATTAACTTTAGAAAAAGGACATTCAGCGTCAAAAATAGAAAATTCCCTCATGTGACCTCTTGTTTAGGTCGAGGAGATTCTGATACCTTGATACATCGCTTGCCATGGGATCATGACGGTTGCACTCATATCTGTCGTGTGTATAGCTTCTTCATCTTCTTCGTCTTTTTGTTGCACAAAATTGACAAACACATTTTTCAAAGCAACCGCGACCGCCATTTACTTTCTAACTTCCTACTGCGCATGCGTCAAGGTATCAGAATCTCCTCCGAGCACAGCCGAGAATTAATTGCAGCTTTGGAAGTAACTCACTCGCGCCGCCAGTAATTACGCTGCGGGGTATTCAGGACACAGACCGTGATCACAAGATACCGAAAATAGATTTTTAGAAAATAGATTTTCCATGTGAACAGAGCCTTAAGCTGGCTAAGCTGACAGTCATCTAGTGAGACTCCCCACAGGGATAGATCGATCTAAAATCTGTGGAAATGGGGTCTAAGTATTAAAGCCTTCTTTGACTCAAGCTAAATGGGCAGTATTTTACAAAGAGTGTGCCAAAAATGTGAATGATGATACTAGTATTTGGGCTATTTCACAAAAAGTAAGAAATTGACAATTATTTTTTTATATTTCAGTTGAATTTTGCAGAATTATTCCATGTAAAAGTTGAATAAAACTATCAGTGTTCTTTCTTTAATTGTTGATAAAATTATTCAGTTGAAAAATTTGTTTTTGACTTTCTATATGTATATCTTTGAAATAGATCCAGTTGACAAGAGAGAGGGTCAGATGAGAAGAAGCTTTGGAGAGAAAAAAAAGAGTAAAACAAGTTCAAAAAGGTGGGTTCCGTTCATTATTACTTCTTACATGTTGTAAATAATTTCTGTTTTCACATGCTTTCCTTAATTATGGTAGCCTAGTTCTGTTTATATCCTAGAACTGTTTGGAGTTTAAAATTGGTATGCAAAGTTACGGTACCCATCAGGCATCTGGGGGGGGGGGGGAGATGCTCATGTTGGTTATTAATTTTCATGAATTCTTTAGTATCATTGACCTCCTTAATTATCTGTATTCTACCAGTACTTCAACAAAAATGTTCAGTTCATACAATATTTGTTAAAACCTTTGCTTCAGCCCTGCCCCCTTTCAAATCTAATTAATTTTCTTCACCCATTAATTAAAAGACCTTTTTTTCTACCTTTGAGAAATCTGATTACCAATACTAGATCAAATATGGCTACTTAGCACTCATTTCCTCTCTCGCCACAGTTCCAGGAAAAACTTCATACGCCATTAAATTGTTTCTGGCTGTCCTAGATAAAGTTCACACCAGAGCCCATGTAGAACTGGAGTGGACTTAGTGATGTCAATTGACGGCCATGTTTTACAGGGTACCCCGATTAAATTACGTAAAATTTGTGAGGTCACACTTATATCATCAATATCAAGACTATGGCCTCGCATGCACCAAAGCTTGTTACCCATCAGCAATGCATATTTTAAATGAGCACAGTTGATTTTATTTATTTTTCATTTTATCTTATTATTATCACCAGTCTGATCATATAAATTTTCATTTCAAACCCGAGTGTATAAGTATAAATATGACAATAGATTATAATTATCATTACTATTTATTAATTAACACATTTGAAATGCCTCTTTCACTTAATTTTCAAAATGTTAAATTTGTAAGTATATTCATCATTGATTGTAACCTACAGTATTTTTTAATTCTGATTATGCCTTAATTAGTACTCAATCTTTTCAATAGCCTAACGGCAAAATTATGGATTTTACAGATACTGTAATTTTTAAGTCATAATTTCTTGAAATAGGAGCATTCCATTTGAATCGTGAAAAAATTAAAAATCAGACTACCCTATACCTCGAATATACATATGCATTAAAAGTACCATAAATGCAAAACAGAAATATTATATTTATGTTTCTTAAATTATGTATCTGAAAGAATTATCATGTTTGCCCATTGAAAAGACCAAGTCATTACTGTAAACCCAGTATTTCCTGTTTGAACTCTCTTCAACTCCGCCTGAACTAAAAAGATCCCTCAATATTCCAAGAAATTAATTAGTGGACACTCTTTAAATATCCTCCTTTCCCAGAAGATAGCCTCACACATCAGCTAGGCAGGAAACAATTACTAGTAATTGTACATGTAGGACTCTAAGGGGGCATTCCCAATGAGACAATTGATCTATGTAAAACACTCAGCTTCCTGGGGACTTAAATTAAGTGCAGTCGGATTAACAGATTAACACGCCTATTGTTTCCAATATACTTGTANCAAGATCGATATTTGACATGCCACCTTTTTCTCCTTCTGAGAGAGAAAGTCAGCAATGACCTTGACCTTTATGATATAGGTCACTGGCGCGCAATGCATTAGATGGCATGGCTACCGGTACGTGACTGTGCTGCACAAGATATGTCACTTCTGAGAGGAAAACAGTTGGTAAGTTCACGTTTTCATCGTATCTTTATAATTAGAGAATGTTGTGAGGAGATTTACCGCGTGTTAATGATCGACTTCCGGGAAATAATCGTAGTATAAGATATGAAATTATAATATTCCTTGATGCACATATGTAACTAAGTTTTATTGCCATTTCACGCGTTTTTTTTTTTTAATTTGGTCATGATGGTTATATAAGCAAATGCAATTTATGCAAATTTACAGATCTTTAGCTTATTTTGTGGCTAAGTTAAACAATATGGTGGGGTTTGTCAGCTTTATATACATTTTTATTATTTATTTATTATTCTTAAACAAATTTTGAGACTTTGTTTTGAGAGTGCCCAGAATTTCCAACACTTAACAATTGCCACTCTAATTTTTTCAACCAATTTTAATTCAGTAAAAAGACCTACTGGATACAGTGTACAGAATGAAGCAAAATATGATGTATTGAAAGCCAAAGGATATATTACTGGCCATTGGAACTTCTACTTTAGCATCCTCTGTATTAGGTTCTCAAAATACTAGTATATACTCCCACCTGCAAATTTATCATGTGTATTAGATTTCTGATCTTCATCCAGCACTGACCTAGTCTCTAACACAGTTTGTTTCAGGATAATAGTTATAATTTTAATTTATTCCTTCTTTAATATTTATCTTTTAAGCCAATAGCCTATGCATAAATAATCTTTTATATAACCTGTTTCAACTGACTCAGAAATTTAATTTCCCATGTGAGGCAGAGATTAATTGTAGCGTAGGGTGGGAGGGGGGGGGGGGTCTCTGTTTGCCCAGAATACTGGACTAAGACGATTCTTACATACAGTATTGAATTTCCTTTCAGTTAAGACTTGCTATGCACAGGGTGCAGGTGAGCATTAATTTATAATGTAATATTTATCAATTGTATCTTAATGACTTTTTATTATGGAAGATTATTGTATAGTTTTAAAAATATAGCAGGGTTCTCCCCAGGCCGCGATACGCTATTTTTTTTTGCCGATACGCTATTTTTTTTTTTTTTTTNGTTCAGGTTCAATAGTAACTATGGGTGTACAGGGTTCTCCCCAGGCCTTTATAGCGTATCGGCCCCGATACGCTATTTTTTTTGCCGATACGCTTCTTTGAACTCCGATACCCTTTAAGAGCGTGTGTGTGACCAATGCATTTAATGCCTTTATTCCTGACAGTCGCGACGTAAACCGTAAAATAAAAACGACTGTGTGCGTACTTGGATCTCTTGTGTGCGCGTTAAGTTGTTTATTTTTGTTCTGCTTGGCGCAGTAATACAAGTATAACATCTTATGTTGAGGGCGCGGGACCTGCGTACTGACAAGTTTCGAATATCAACATCCGCTTCTTAGTTTCGTCATTAATGTAATTCTGTGAGTAGTTCTGTGAGTTGTTTGCTTTATCTATATTTTTGGAGAAATATAATAAATAGTCAATCCTTCATGTTATTTTGACTGAAGAATAGTAGCAGTCGTGATCATTTATAAATAAATGTATCCATGCGGCAATAGAAAATGTCAGAAAAGATGCAACGATATTTAATACATTAGCGCCTGTCTGGGACATGTAAAAATTCAGCTCGGACAGGTGAAGTTGNGATCATTTATAAATAAATGTATCCATGCGGCAAGAGAAAATGTCAGAAAAGATGCAACGCTATTTAATACATTAGCACCTGTCCGGGACAGGTAAAAATTCAGCTCGGACAGGTGAAGTTGCAGGGTTGGCTGTCCGACAGACAGGTCATGGTTTATGAGAAATTTGGAGCAAAAATCTTTTAAAAAATCATTTTTAATGCATACTAACGTCTTTTTGTCTCCTCCTACACGGTACTGAAAAGAATGACCTACTTTTGGCACAAAACACGTGCAGTCACAAAACGAAGTCTGAGCAAACTTACCGCCAAGTTATGAAAGTGAACACCCTCCAGAACTTCATCAGACAAAATTTATTTACATAACAGGCTGACTACTGAATATTTATTTGGTTAAAAATCTACGTGCTCTAGAGAAAAAGACCGTTACAGAAACGACACAAGTACTATGCTGGTTACAAAGCCAGATTGGACTAGATGAACTGGCTATATCTAGTTCGTTGTCCAGGCAACATACTGCCTGTCAATCAAATACGTTGTATGCTATCTACTCGCTACAGAACGTGAAATCTTTGGGACTGAAGATCTTGTTGAAATATTGTTTATTTGCCAAAATATAACCTGAAATTTTGTATGACGTTTTCTTTAATGACTTTATCATCACCTATATTATTTACAGTGAAAAATTTAGTGCTGGAATATGATAAATTAACATTGCTGTCATATACCAGTGTGGTATTGATGTAAGGAAGAAATTATAGTAATAACAAATATGAGAATTTAAATAAAAAGGGAAACTTTTTTATACTGATTTTATTTAACTCCTATATTTCAGAAAATCAACACAAGATAACCCCTAAAAAGTTAAATTGTTAACATATATATAAGTAAAGTATTATAAGATGAATATTCTTTAATTTTTCATTGAACTTTTGAATATTTTAATAAAATTAATCTAACAGTACCCCCTCCCCACCTGCCACTCAGGGTATTTATATTTTGCTTTGGTTAAACTTCATGTGAATTTGTTATCAAATTGCAGATTTACAATTAGCAGACCCTGTACCCAAAATCCTAGGAGAAGCCCTGATTGAAACTTTATAATGTTAAATCAGACTTATATGCAAGATTAAATCTTCAGGAGTTCACAAGTATGAAAAAACAACTGTTTATCTGAAAATAAATCCACTTTAAGGTGCATTTTCCGGCTCATTTAATTTAATGTCTTGGCAATAAATGCATTAAATGTATGACTACACATATTTATTTATAAAGTTCAATAGTATGAACAGAAAAAATATTAGTTTTGTTGGACAGGTCGGATTGAAATTCGGACAGGTGCTCATAAAAGTTAGTGTCTAGCCCTGATTTTCCCGCAAAATTTGGTCCTGCAAGTGGGCTATGTTGTAACGATTTGATGACAGCTTCAGATTGCATGGGATTGCACCCTTTTTGCATGAAATAATGAAAGTTTTTCCTCTGGAGGGCACATCCCCGGACTCCCCCCCCCCCCTTTGTGCCTCGCTTCGCGAGCTTCGGTACTCTCGCGTAAAAAAAAATAAGGGCTATTTTCAAATCCTGGGGAGAACCCTGNATATATTACTGGCCACTGGAACTTCTACTTTAGCATCCTCTGTATTAGGTTCTCAAAATACTAGTATATACTCCCACCTGCAAATTTATCATGTGTATTAGATTTCTGGTCTTCATCCAGCACTGACCTAGTCTCTAACACAGTTTGTTTCAGGATAATAGTTATAACTTTAATTTATTCCTTCTTTAATATTTATCTTTTAAGCCAATAGCCAATGCATAAATAATCTTTTATATAACCTGTTTCAACTGACTCAGAAATTTAATTTCCCATGTGAGGCAGAGATTAATTGTAGCGTAGGGTGGGAGGGGGGTCTCTGTTTGCCCAGAATACTGGACTAAGATGATTCTTACATACAGTATTGAATTTCCTTTCAGTTAAGACTTGCTATGCACAGGGTGCAGGTGAGCATTAATTTATAATGTAATATTTATCAATTGTATCTTAATGACTTTTTATTATGGAAGGTTATTGTATAGTTTTAAAAATATAGATATCATATTAAAGTCAAAGGGATTATTTATATTTTCCAATAATATAGTGAAATAGTGTTCCTGTTGAACTGCATGAAGTATGCAGGGATGTATAGGATAAAGCATGCTGTCTCAGTCTGTTTCTCCTTGAACGTTTTGCTTATATATGATAGATAGAAATGAAGCATATATATATTATGATGATGGGAGCGACAGTGGTAAGCTTTTTTTTCTTACTTTTACTGAAGCCAGGGGCTTGTGGGGGGGGGCTTGAGACACATCATCACTCCCCACACATCCCATTTTAACACCTACTGCTAATTTTTGTAACATAGTATGCATTTGTACATGGTGAGAAGCAATGCTTAGTTCAGTACACTGATAAGGTAATTTTCTTTCAGAGTATGATCCTTATCTCTTTGATTCTGATGAAGAACCTGTTGACAAAAGAATCAAGGTAATGGATACATGAAATCGAAATACTTTAAAGTTATCG